TCTGAAATCACGTCCACAGTGGCCACCTATTTTACCTTGAATGTCTAAACCACAGTACCCGAGGCAGAGACTGGGTATATTAGCCTCCTGGGGCTTCCGTAACAAATTACAACAAACTGGTGGCTTAAAACAACAGAAATACCTTCTCTTACAGTTCTGGAGGCCAGAAATCCAAAACCAAAGTGTTGGCAGGGCCACACTCCCTCCTCAGGCTCTCAGGGAGAACCTTCTTTCCCTTTCTAGCTTCTGATGGCTGCTAGCAATCTGGTGGCATCTTTGGCGTCCCTTGGTTGACAGCCGTATCATCCAAACTCTGCATCTGTCTTCACATCATCTTCTCTGTGTCTGTGTCTTATCTCTCTCTGCCCTACTCTTACAAGAATATTGGTCACTGGATTTACAATCTAATTGGATAATCCAGGATGACCTCATTTTCAAATCCTGAACTATATCTGTAAAGACCCTTTTTCTAAATAAGGTATCATTCACAGGTTCTGGGGATTAGATGTGGATGTATCTTTTCAAGGACCACCATTCAACCCACCACCCAAGGCTAGAGGAACCCACAGCTGTCAGCCTTGGAAATCTAGTACAATGCTTCTTGAGCTTAAAAAGCAGGCTGACTTTCAGAGTCTTTCTTCATCCGGTTTCACAAATGTGCCTCTTTGGGGAGTGGATCAGTAGCCTAAATGCTGCCAACACAAATGTCCAGACTGTCCATAATTATGACAAAACACTTGGATTCTGGGGCCTTTTGACACAGGGACAGTCAAGCACAAAGGGGAATTACAGTAAATGTGCCTGCAGTGATGCCACTCCAAGTTTGGAGGGTTGGAGAGGATATATGTGAATCTGTACCAAGAAACACTCCGTCCCCCAGGCTATTGGCTTCACCAATGAGAACCACAGCTACCCAGGCAGCTTACCACTTTACAGGGAGAAAGGTAACTGAGGTTCCTCGAGCCCTTTGTCACGTGATGCTGGAGTTACAATGTCCTAGTAATAGGACATTGGCTCCTAGGGACAGGAGCCAAAGCAGGAAAGTGGAGAGGGGAGTGGGAAGAGGGGAATGTAATGGGATGTAAATGTCGTTCTCTCGGTCCCACCAGCATGTGACTCATCCGCTCCTGGGGAACTGGCTTGGCTGTAACACAGAGAGAATCAATTTTATTTCTGCCACTTGGGATTTTTGCAGTCCTTGGAAGAGAACTTTGGCATTAAAAATTGAGTAGAAGGCATTGCCAGAACTCAAACTGCTGGTTTCTGATTCTCTGGTCCCCAGTCTTTCCATGACGGCTCTCTGACTGCTGAGAACTCTTGAGAAGAGCTTGCTTCTTCACCACCTTTATCAAACCTTATCAGTAAATAACATACTGCCAGGACCTTATATAACAACTATTTGTAGAACACTTTACAGTTTGCAAAGCAGATTCATATATTATTTCAGCAATCTGGCAATTGCCCTGCAACTCTGGCTGCCTAGAGAACTTTCCTGGCATCCGGCACTGATGGTATTTCATGACAGGATATTGATTTAATGCGTGGATGGTGCCTCATCCCCCACAGTAGAGGCAGAAGGTGGGGTTTGGGGGTATTTACACAGCTGTCTGACACTTCCAAAGCTACCAAAAATTATATTTTGGAAAATGGATGCTGTTCCCAGAGAGTAGGAGTCATTTAGCAGTATTACAAATCTATTCATATTTGGGCATTTAAATATGTATTGGAGATGCCAAGCAACAAGGACTCTGGACGCTGTATTCAGTCTGTTTCCAATTCTTTAGTTGGAATTTAAACTTCAGTTCCCCACAAGGCACTGCAGAATCCTTGAGGCTGTCATTTACAAACCACTGGATGCAGTAACTGTGTGGGAAGCCTGCACACACCATCCATGTGGATTATGGATGGTTTTGCAGACTCAGCAGGGTGTTTGGATCCATAGACAGCATGATCAGAATCAGAGTCATGTATCAGCCTGCAACAGGGAAATTATTCCTACTAGATGGAAACCTCCCACAGGGAGGCCAGAGTTGAAAGCAATCACTAGTTTTTGCATCTTTAACAGCAAGTCACAGGATCACAGATTTAAAAACTGGAAAGGATCTGAGAGACCCCTCCTCTCCAATTCATTTTATATAGGGAACTAAGGCATAGAGAAGTGAAATGATGAACCCAAGATCACATACATAGTCGAAGTACAGTGCTCTTTCCACCATGCTATATTATTTGTTCTAGAAAACACCTAAGCCACAGATTGTTTTGCAGATCAAAGAAACTGGCATTATTTAGGGTCATGCTCGTGGTCTGCTCAGCTTCCAGTGTGAACACGAGACCTTGATTTGCTATCACCAGCAGCTTTTGAATGAATTGCCTTGTGATGCCTTATGTCAAAAGTAGTGTCCCAGATAGAAACAAAACATCTATAAATGGGGTTTCATGGCACAGCCTCTCCATGGCATGAAATTGAAGCAATGCTGTACTTCATTATCAGATTAGCTGCTTCAAAAATTTTGTATAAAGGCTTTTATCCACCCTGCACCTGATGGTTCATCAGATGGGAATGGATGACATAGTGTTCCTGGGGAGCTGCTTTGTGCTGAAACAAACCAAAACCCAGGGTAAGGATGGCCCAACACACAACCTGGGGCAAAGCGCTTTACTGGTACATGCAAGGCAGGTCTCCACTGCTCACACCTGTTTTTTGGTTTTTTTAATCCACCATGGAAAACTCCTCCATCCTAAAAAGGGATTCTGGAAAAAGCTAGCGTTAAGGAGGACATTTCCTTTGCTCATGAATCCATCCTGGCTACCTATAACCTTTTCATTTTCTACTCCCTCTGCCTGGAATGCTCTCCCAGTCTCCTCTCCAGACATCACCTTCTCTGGGAAGACTTCCTTGACATTGCTCCTTCTTCACCCCACTCCAAGCTGAGTTCAAATGTCCTTTTTCTGTGCCCCTCTGCCCCACCAGAACCCAATGCTTCCTCTCTCACCAAGCTTATCACCCTCTATGGTAGCTATAGGTTTACTATTACTATTCACTATTAAAAGGCATACTCCATGGGGAAAAAGAGCATTTTTCAGGTCAGCATTCTTTTTGACTGGGATAATGCCAGGAACAGAGTAGGTTTTTCATGTCAGTAGAATGAACTCTTCTTCCTACCATTCAACATCCCCCTTTATTTGGCCTCTCTTACTATGCACAAATCTGTACTGTGATCAATTTTCTCCTTTTCAGGCTGCCTCTTATTCTACTCATAAATATTAATACCCCCAGGCCAAATACCATCAGGGCCACACCAGCAGTTGAACTTCAGGTCTGTTGCTCATTGCGACAGGCAATGCATACCATGAGGAATGGTGGGACATCTCTGTACGAAGGCATTAGAAAGAACTTATAGGATTGGCTTGTGTTGGATGATTTGGATAAGGGTTCAGGGAATTGAGGCTTTGCTCTGGATTGGAGAGTGTCAGGAAATGGAGGTGATTCTATGACTGGGTCTCAATAAATCTTATCTTTAAGGTGGGAGGGATGGAGCAAAGCTAAAGCTGTGATTAGCAAAGAATTTACAGTCATTCATACTAGCCAAAATAATAGGGGTATGTTTGGTCACTTTTGTGGTTTGGACAATGTTCAGGTTTTGCCTATGTTCAAACATTAGCAATCATGCTTTTGCGTTGATCTATCATGATCACAGAATGTCCTTGTCTGTGCTGGTGTTTTGTGAAACTGTGTTATTTTGACAGAACACTAAGGCTTAGCTGATAGTCCCAGATGCTGGGAGCTGCTTTTCTCTTTCTCATAACCCATACCCATTCCTAACTTTTATTAAGCTGTTTCTCCTCCTAGGATGCTCTTCTCTCTCCCCCAGCCAACTTCACAAAATCCCACCTCCCTGTGAGGCTTTCCTAAATACTTCTTTCTCCATTAGATTATCTTTTCTGAATGTATCTAATAGTCTTAGTTGGCATACCACAATTTAGGACCAACTGTGTTCTTTCTTTAATTGTTCAACTTGAATTGTTCCACACATGTATTTTTCTTCTCAGTAGGTTGTAAACCACTGAGGTGCAGGGCCGTTTCTCATACTTCAGGATCCCCTAGAAATGAGCACCCTGCTGAGGTGAACTAATGGCTGGTCTGAGTAAGGCGGGCAGTGGGAAGGGGGGCCAGCTTGCTTCTGTAACACAGCTCTGAAAACGCAGCTACGGGCCTGGAGGGGAGAAGGTACCAGCTTGTCCTTTTCCCTGGTAGTTGCCATTTCTAACACCCTGAGATAATCTTTCTTCCCATCAAGAAAGCTTTTTCCAGTATCTCTTTTGGAGCACTCATTTCCTTCCAAGAGTTATTTGTATAACTGTCTTCCGTCCCCACCGGTCTGAAAGCTCTTTTAATGCAAGATCTACCATTAATGCATTTTTGTCTCTTCTCACCATCCCAAAGCGCCTGGCACTGTACTTAGCGGGTGGAAGGAAACGACAGCAGTCCCCAACTAACCCCAGTTCCTGCCTGGCTCGTCGCAGAAAGTAGCGTGCATCCTGTCGGGCGGGGAGGGACACCGATGAGGCTCACTGCTCTGGCCTTTGGCTGAAGTCGGGGGCACAAGACTTCGGCCCCGGTGGTCAGTCCACGCCCTCCGGCCCGTCATCACTGCCCCAGGCTGCTCCTTAGGCGGACACTCAGCAGGTTTGGGGAATCCTCAGTTAAAAGCTGCGAGTTTCAACCACTCTCCGCAGAGTAGGTGAGATTCGACGGGGCTGGAGAAATCTAAGTAATCAACACCGACCGCAAAGCCAGGAACGGAATCAGCTGGGTTTCCACCGCGGGGAAGTGGCTTGCTTTCTGCAAAGCCTTCTCACGCCAACTGTATGGATCAGCCAATCATAAAGCCCGATAGGGCGTGGTCACCAATTAGAATGTAGGGAAGGCGGGGTCAAGGCCTTGATTGGCATCAGGTCTCAGGGTGCCCAGAGGCCTGGCAGCGAGGAGTCTGAAGAGGCTTCAAGTTGGCAGGCCCAGTGCCGGGGGCCATCTTTATTTCTGGCAGGTCAGCTGACTTGGACTAGATCAGGGCCAACACGTAGGCGACAGCCCTTTTCTCTAGGGAGCGGATGAGGCCCTCCCTGCACACACTTCCCATCTCTCCGCGCGCGCCCCCGCCTTCTCGGTGAGCCTGTTTGGCGGGAAGTTGGCTTAGTTGGCCTACCTGTGGCTCGGCGCGTTCCCTGGTCCCCGCCTTGTTTCTCCCCAGAGGCTTCTCATCCTCCCTCGGTGATCTCGGCGTAGGGCATAGTACCCCATCTCACGGAGGACGCGATGGCTCCCAGGAAACGCCCAGAAACCCAGAAGACCCCCGAGGTGGTTGTGCGTCCCAAGAGCAAGAGGAACAGAAGCCCCCGGGAGCTGGAACCCGAGGCCAAGAAGCTCTGTGTGAAGGGCCCCGGTACTGCCTGCGCCTGCTGCTTTAATAATTCTGCCATTTGGGGTTCTCACGCAGGAGGCTGGAGTGGGGGTGGGTGCTCCTAGGTTCCTGAGGCTGTCCCAAATTATGGGCGCCTCAGGCTATGCATTTTGTCTGCAGGTCCTTTGACATCTTAGAGTTTGGGCTTAACCTCCCTCAGGTGACGGGAAGAGGCAGATGAACTCCATTACAACAGACACAACGGACTTCCCAAGTTCCTTGTTTGTACCAGGAGTTTTACACACCAAGGAGAGCTTAAGATAATCCTACCTTGCCTGGAGATGTGTGTGCTTAATTTTGATAGTCACGATTGTTAGCTGTATGTCCTTGGTTTAGATGCAGGATCCCTCAATTTCCTTCCTTTCTTCCTTTGAAAGCTCATCCTCAGGGGTTTTTGAGGGGGGGACTTGAACCTGGGGCTAGAAGAAATGTGAGGAACTCAAAAAATTAGAGCAGGGGGTTGTGGATGAAGTGGTTTTTGCTCATGAGAAGAAAGAATTGGTTGTCAAGAGGCAGGATTCATAGAGATCAGGTCCTCAAATATATGTTGGTAATTCAGAGTTGCTTTATTCCTATTTTAGGTGGATCTACCCCTCAAAAAGTAGCCTAGTGAATTTAGCTCCACGCCAGATTCTCTGGAGCCTGCTGGTTTTCAGGAGAACAGATTGGACTTGGGGCCACAACTGGTCACCTCTACATTATTTTAATACAGGATTTAAAGAAACTGCTTTTCCCAATCACCTATATACTGTCCAAAAATCTTTTTATTGTGCATTATATATGATTTTAAAATTGTTACTCAACCCTATCACAAGTTTTCCAGCCCCACTGAGAAGAGGTCTGCAGTTCTTGTATGTTTCTTTGGCTTAGTTCTCAGAAACCCTGCAATATCATAGTTTTACTTTAGAATTACTATTTGGGGGAATGTTTTTTGGAAAGGGCTGGATCCCTACTCACTATTTATTTCTTGTGCTGAATGAGACTAAGCAGACGATGGAAAGGCCTTAGGAGGTGATTAGAGAGATTGTCTATGCTGAATGAAACAAGGCTTTCTTTCTGGGGTTTCAGTAGAAAAAAAGCTTTCTTGCGGGAGATTGGAGCGGAAAATATGTGTCTCTTCTGCTTGGCAGGTTCTAGCAGAAGATTTGACTCAGGCTGCCTTTGGGCGGGGTTGGCTAGCCTGCGGGTCTCGGCATCATGCAGCAGCATCGTCAGGGCCCTCCACCAGCATAAGCTGGGCAGAGCTACCTGGCCATCACTACAGCAGGTGAGGCATTTCCTGGCTGAAGTGCTCAAGGGTTTGCATGGTGCTTTTTTACTACCGGATGGTCCAAAATTAGATGTTGGGTTGGTTCAGTAGGTTTTCAGAGTGGTCAGATCACCCCCACTTTGGTGACTGGCTTACTGGGCATTCAGCCAGGTAGAAGTCCTATGCTGTAGGGGTCCCAGCTGAAGTGCACTCTGTCCCTTTGCTTTCCATGATTAGATTATGTAATTGCAAATATTTTTATGCACAGAGCCAGGCAGTTAGTTTTCCTTTAAGTGGGAGGACTTGGCCCCAGGCCTCATCTAGGGAGGAGTCAGAGATTGACAATGTACTGTGTGTTTTAATTCAGTTTAATTCTTTTCTCTTTGTGTTAGGGTCTTCAGCAGTCCTTTTTGCACTCTCTGGCTTCTTACCGGATATTCCAAAAGGCTGCCCCTTTTGACAGGAGGGCCACATCCCTGGCATGGCACCCAGCTCACCCCAGCACCGTGGCTGTGGGTTCCAAAGGGGGAGATATCATGCTCTGGAACTTTGGCATAAAGGACAAACCCACCTTCATTAAAGGGGTGAGCAGTTCCCTGTGCCAGACGATAGTGCTGAAGAAGTGTTTGTTGAAGGGATGAGAAGTCATCCAGTGACAAGGAGATGATTGGGATCAAAAGTAACTGTGGGTATTTTCAAACAACTAAATGGTGATGATACTCAAATCTTTGTTGAAGGCCTGCCCTTAAAATATTAGAAAGTATGAAATATTGATCACCTGCTAGTAAGTCACCACGTAGAGTGGAATCTAAGCCCCTTACCGCCTGGACCTCATCTTGTGCTACTGTCTCTCCTCATTTCCTGAGCTTTAGCTGTACTAGCCATTTCTGTTCCTGCAACTGGGTCTTTGCACTTGCTGTTCCCTTTGGAGAGCTCTGCCCCATGGTTTTCTTGTGGCTGGCTCCCTCTTATCCTTCAGGCCTCCGCTCAATATACTTCCTCAAAAAGGCTTTCACTACCACTCTGCCTAAAGTAGCACCTCCCCCCATCACTCCCTATCTCATTGCCCTGCCTCACTTTACCCCTACTGTGTTTCTCAGTATCTGAATGGACTTATTTGTAGGTCTTTGTCCACTGGAAAGTAAGCTGCGTGATGGCAGGGACCTTGTCTTTCTGGTTTACTGCTCTATCCCCAGTGCCTAGAACAGTGTTTGGCCTAGAGTAGCTGCTTTATATTTGCTGAATGAATGAGGGGCTTGGAGTGTAACAGGGTAGGTGGGATATATACATACTAACAATACAGCAATACAGATGCTACATGCTGCAGAATTTAACAGAAGGAAGAACCTCTTGTGAATTAGAGTTGATAGAGGAGGTTTCGTGGATGATTGAGGAGTGAGGAAGAACAGTATTTAGATAAATGGAGGGAAAAGGAAGAAAGGCAGAGTGTGTTTGGGGTAAGGTTTGGCAAAGGGCTTTTTAGGGATGCTAGTGTTTGTCATCAGTCCCTGGGGAGTGCGGGGTTAGCTCCTCCACCGAAGGGAAGACCTTTTGCTTGCCCTGCTGGGGTCTAACATTGGAGGGCTGTAAGGTAAAAAGTGACACTCTGGGTTTAAAGCAGGGACCACAAACTCACATGCCCTAAGAAGCCAGACAGATACAAGAATGACGTAGGATTGTGGTTAGTAATAAACCGGAGATGGTTGACAGGCAAGAAACTAAGTCCCATGGTATCAGATCTAAGTTTTTCAAATGAAGCCTGATTTTTTTTTTACATGAAACATTCTGATTTTTTTAAACTAGGGTGAAATACAGATAGCATAAAATTTACCATCATGACCATTTTTAAGTGTACAGTTCGGCGGCATTAAGTACATTCACATTCTTGTGTAACAGTCTCCAGAACTTTTTCATTTTGCAAAACTAAAATTCTGTACCCATTAAACACTAACTCCCCTTTCCTCCCTCTCTCCCGCCCCTGGCAACCACCATTCTGCTTTCTGTCTCTATGATTTTGACTTAGTATTCTCATGTAAGTGGAATCATATGATATTTGTCCTTTTGTGACTGGCTTATTTCACTTATCATAATGTCCTCAAGGTTCATTCATGTTGCAGCATGTGCCAGAATTTTCTTCCTTTTTAAGGCTGAATAATGTTCCACTGTATATTATACACTGTATAATGTATATGTATATAGCCAGATTTTATTTATCTATTCATGTGTTGGTAGACATTTGGGATGCTTTTGCCTTTTGGCTTTTGTGAATAATGCTGCTCTGAACATGGTTGTACAAATGTCTTTTTGAGTCCCTGCTTTCAGTTCTTTTGGTATATACCTAGAGTGGAATTGTTGGATCACATGGTAACTCTATTTTTAATTTTTTGAGGAACCACCATAATAGAGGCTGCACCATTTTACATTTCCTCCAACAGTGCACAAGGGTTTCATTTTAAAATACCCTGACTTTTAATGTTGGAAACTAAATAAAATTGAACATGCTGTGTAGCTAAATAAAACACATCTGTGGGCTGGATTCTGCATTAGCTCACTGACATTTTTCCACTGTGGTTTGGAGGTAGAAAAGGCTAAGGGTGAACCCACAATGAGTTCTTTTAAGTGGAGGGTTTGGAGAGCAGCCCATCAGAAGAGGCCAGGTTAGGCAGGCTTGGGGGATTAGGATTCAAGGTATGAGATGGATGCTCAAAAAAAGAAGTGCCTGAAGTCAGAGGAAAGGCAGCCAGAGGAGTGCTGTGGACAGAACTCGGTGGGATTCCCAGCTAGCTGTTAAGACAGGTGACCACTGGAAGGGGCAGCTTAAAATGGAAGTCAGAACCCAGGGCTTAGTCAGAGAGAGATTTGTTTCTGTTTTTGTTTTTGTTTTCCCTAGACATCTAGGATATGGGAATAGAGAAATTTAAGAAATGGCTTAAGAATGTCCTAGCGGAAGAGCCTTCTGACCAAAAGGGGAATGATAGCTGCTTTGAAGTTGTGCCAGGCTAAGGCTGCTTTTGGTTTACATTAGCCTTTATTTTAATGCCCATTTAAGTGAAGTTTCCTCAGTTGTGGAGATTGGTCTAGGCATTTGAACTATGTGACAAAGAGGGAGCTAGGCTGGAGCAGAAGAAGGATATGGCAGTTTGGAGAACTGTCTGAATTTTCTCCCAGACAGGGACAGCAGAAAGTTGATCTGAAACCAGTGACTAGGGGAGCAGTTCCTCATTCTGTCATTTCTTTAGTCATCTGAACTTGGCTCTGATCTTTACATCTTCAGGCCCTTGGCAAAAGAATATGTTACATTTTCAAAATGAAGATAACTTCATTTTGTTCTCATTGTAAAAGTGATCTAGGCTTATTGTAAGAAATTCAAACAATACAGAAAAAAGTATAAAGTAAATATTACCTGAAATCCCCATTTGAAGCATCTTTACACACACTTATTCATCTACTTAGATTATTACATAAGTATTCTATCCTTGAATCTGTTCTGTTTTACTTATTACATCGGAAATTCTAGTTTAATCATCTCATATCAGATGATGACCACTTTAAAATATCTAATGATTTCTGTTTTTTTGTAATGCCTTTGGTTTTGGCATCAGGGTAATGCAGACCTCATATAAAGAGTTGGGAAGTGTTCCCTCCTCTTGTATTTTCTGGAATAATTTATGTAGAATTTGTATTATTTCTTCCTTAAATTTTTTATAAGATTCACTCTAGTGAAGCCATCTGGAACTGGAGTTTTTATGGTTTTTAAATTAAATTAAAAATTTTTTATGGAGGTACTGGGAATAGAATCCAGGACCTTGTGCATGCTAAGTATGTGCTCTACCACTGAGCTATTACCCCCAGCTGGAGTTTTTTTTATTGGAAGGTCTTTTAACTATATATTTAATTTCATTAATAGGTGTAGGGCAATTTAAATTATCTATTTCTTCTTGAAGGAACTTGGTAATTTGTCTTTCAGGTAATTTATCCATTTTATCTAAGTTGTTGAATTTAGTGGCATAAAGTTATTCTTATATTCTCTTATTTCCCTGTAGTAATGCCCCCATATTCTTGATATTACTAATTTGCGTCTTCTCTTTTATTCCTGACCAGTTTGCTAGATGTTTATCAATTTTATTGATATTTTCAAAGAACCAGCTTTTAGTTTCATTGATTTTCTCTATTGTTTTTCTGTTTTCTTTTTTGTTAGTTTTTGGTTTATTATTTTCTTTCCTGTGCTTACCTTGGGTATAATTTGCTCTTCTTTTTCTAGTTTCTTAAGATAAAAGCTTAGATTGTTTATTTGAGAACTTTCTTTTATAATATAACCATTTAATGCTATACATTTCCCTCTAAGTATGTCTCTAACTGCATCTCACAGATTTTGTTGTGTTTTTGTTTTCATTCAGTTCAAATTATTTTCCAAATTCATTATGATTTCTTCTTTAACCTATGGGTTATTCTGAAGTATGTTGTTTAATTTCCAAATATTTGAGGATTGTTGAGATCTCTCTGTTATTGATTTCTAGTTCAATTCTGTTATGAACAGAAGACATTTTATATTATTCCAGTCATTTTACATCTTTTATTTGTATGTGGACTGTCTTAGTGAATGTTCCATGTGCATTTGAAAATAATGTACTATTTTGGGGTGAATTATTCTCAAAATGTCAATTAGTTTAAGTTGCTTGATAGTGTTGTTCAAATGTTCTGTACCTTTATTAATTTTCTATCTTTTATCAATTATTGAGAGAGGAGAGAGGAATATTAGAATCTCCAACTATAAAATTGTGTTTCTGTTTTCCTTTAGTTTTTGCTTCATGAATATGGAAACTCTGTTATTAGCTACTTACACATTTAGAATTACATTCTTTTGGTGAACTGACACCTTTGTCATTGTGAGATGGCTCCCTTTATCCCTGGTAATATTTCTTGTTCTGAAATCTTCTTTGTTTGATATTAATATGGCCATCCCAGCTTTCTTCATCCTTTTATTTTTAACCTATTTGTGTATTTGTATATAAAATGAGTTTTCTGTTAGGAGGGTATAGCTTAAGTGGAGAGTTCATGCTTAACATGCATGAGGTCATAGGTTCAATCCCCAGTACCTCCTCTAAAAATAAATAAAATAAACCTAATTACCCCCTGGCAAAAAAAAAAAAAAGAAAGAAAACACATGTATGAGTTTAAAACAGAAAAAATTTTTAAATAAATTTAAAAAATAAAATAAATTTCCTGCAGACAGTATTCTAAAAAAAAAAATTCAATCTGACAATCACTGCCTTTTAATTGGAACATTTGACCATTTACACTTAATATGATAACTAAGATTAGGTTTAAGTCTGTCATCTTCAATTTCTATTTGTCCCATCTCTTTGTTCCATTTTCCTTTTTTCTGCCTTCTCTTTTATTTTATTTTATCATTAGTTTTTATGGAGGCACTGGGGATTGAACCCAGGACCCCGTGCATGCTAAGCAGGCACTCTACCACTGAGCTATATCCCTCCCCCCTCTTGCCTTCTTTTTGGTTGAGTACTTTTTATGATTCAATTTTGTCTCCACTATTCGATTTTCAGTTATACTTTCTCTTTCCCTT